AGCAGGCGTCGCTGATTGAGAATACGGACCTGCTGTGGGGGGTCCATGCTGATTCGTTTTGGTATGGCGCATATTGAGGAGTACTGACTGACCGGAAGTTATATTACCATCCCTCAATGTAACATCCGATACCAGCAAAACGGACTGCTGCACCTTATCCCGCGAATTGGCCGCGAACGTGGGACTCGAATTTGTTTATCAACTGTATCAATTTCGAGCCCAAGGTATGTAATGACCTGCGTTGGGCCTGCTGTTTTCTCTTGAGCGATAGGGACCCCCAGTGCATTGCACACGGTTAGAAAATTGTTCAAGCAACCCTGGCATCCGTCTTTTGTGGCAGCCACAAAGAGAAAGTCGTCCAAATAATGCGTAGCACCGCCTCCCTGTGTCATGAGACGCACACGGGATTCGAGGAACGTGCTGAACTTTTCAAAGAGCGCACATGAAATGGAGCACCCCATCGGCAAGCATTTGTCATAATAAAAGTGGTCCTCGAACTGAAAGCCTAATAACTCGTGATCCCTCGGGGAAGCTGGTAAAAGCCGAAATTCGAAAAGTAGACTTGATATCAGATTTGGCCAAATATGCACCATTCCCCGCCTTCAAGACCACATGTACTGCCACGTCAAAAGATGCGTAATTCACCCTGCACTGCTCAGGACTGATAAAGTCATTGATAGGGGTGCCATACGGAAATGATAAATGGTGACTTAAGCAATACGAGCCTGGCTCTTTCTTATATTAGGTACGAGGCCGATCGGAGAGCATTGTAGATTCTTAAGTGGGCGCGTTGGGAAGGGGCCAGCAATGCGGTCGGCATGAATTTCTTTAGCAAGTTTTTCTCTAACAATCAGGGGGTTTGATGTTACAGAGCGAAGGGGCTCGGAATCCCTGCTCACCCGAAGCCAACTGAAACCCAAGAAAAGTCCCACTGAAAAACCCTCACTCAGTATCTGTCCATGTGCAGTGTTATCGAACGACTCTAACCAGTTCAGAAACAAGGGTACATTAATCGGAGTTGGGAGTACGAAAATAGGGATTACTGGCAGCAGCCGGTCACGCATTCTTTGGGATACTCACGTCTGCGCTTTGTGCAACCCCTGTCACGCCCGCGAGGTTCACATCGCGCTCGTGATGGGGGAATCCCCGTTTCTTCGGCCCTTTATGACCCCATTACTGGTTACGTGTTTCAATGGCTGCCATCGAATCGGCACACGTGCGAACCGTGGCCCGACCATGTACACTTGGCACAATGATGCTGGTACAGCCTAAGTATTTACAACCGCCCGGGCTATTAAAAGCAAAACACACCCGACTACTTCCGCGCGGAATGACAGTTATCTGAGCGGTGTTGCTGGCTGAGCCAACGGCAGACGCCCCCACCGTTAACCACAACTCCACATCCAACTCAGCCCATGATCGATCGGGTTGCGTGGCCTTCCGAAGACGAAACTGTTCGTCATACGATCGCCACCCATAGCCCGGAAATTGTACTGCGGCTGTGCGCACGATCTCGGTGTACTTAAGCAGTTCCATGGCCCTATTGGGAAACTTCATGAGGTATATAGCCATAAAAGAGTGGAATGCAGAGACCCACTTGTCCCACGAATCTAGCTTGTCCTGGCGGCCGGTGGGGGACAAGCTAGGCCTCAGAAACATCCTATCACCCTCAACGACAAGTGCAACCTCGGGGTCTTTATGAGCCTTTGCGATAAGTGACGCTGCGCTATCTGCAAATAGCAGAGACATATCAACGTACTCGTTTTTCCATATTTGTTGCGTTCCCTAAATGTCAAGTCGATGGTAGCATGGACTTTATTAGTGTCTACGGGATGTGATATTTGGGGTGAACAATTTATCAAAAGGTGGACGTGAAACAAGGGGTTTGGGCGACAGTCAAACTGTATGGTTGGTTTATTGCTCTCACTTCTCTTCATCAAAGTTCAATGTGGGTTTGAAGAAGGTGTAACTTAACATAATACAACACACAAAAGGCAAACTTTTAGAGAGGCGAAGTTGTATACGAGTGTAACTGAACTACGGTTTGGCAGGACCATTGGAAATGAAGGTCAGACGGAGTGGGTACGGTACGTGAGTGTAGCCTCGATGCTACACTCATCGGGCCGGGCCGTGGTGGGAGCTGTCCCGGACCACCACGGTGACCAGCAAGGGCTGGACGGAGCCAGCGCCGGTATGTACCGACTGCACTGCCGCTCAGACCGCAATGTGATGAGCGCAATGATAAAGTCGCCGCACTATGCACCATTGGCTCAGCGTAGAGACGGGGAGGACAGGGGCTAGTTAGCAAGACAAGGGTGGCGAGGGATACGGGGGTGTATCGCCCGGCAATCGGTTCGGACGTAGCGGTGACGGGCCGCTACGACTCTCACTAGCACCCTGGGCTAATTCGTACCACTCTCACATCGGTCCAAGCTAAGCTCGCTGGCCATTCATATGGTTACATTTCTTCGCCATAAGAATGGTTACTATCGCACTTCTCTCGGAAAGGGTCCAACCGCCGCACTACGTTAGGTACCACTCTCGCAACTAGGGTTTGGTCCGCCGCACCTGACCGACGAACTAGGGAAAATCTGCTATACTTATAGGATTCTCGAGGCTTTAGGAATTAACAAAATATGAGCGTCGCTGAACAGCTGAACCAATGAAAGTCTTCCATCTCAAAGGGTCACATGACTTCCTGCTAGAGTCGTGTGCAAGAATCCAAGTGTCGTGTGTAAAAAGGTAAAATACAGAATAAGAAGTCACGTGTACAAAGTGTAGAGCCGGGTGTGTGAAAGTGCTTACCCGGTCATCTGTGGCGAATGATTGACAGTTACAAAGTCTGAGGTTTCTGGACATTAGCATTTCAGGGAACCTTAACCACGCCCAACCACGCAGCCACGTGGAGGGGAATTTCGACATGCCAAAACTGAGCAGAAAAAAACACAAGAAGTGAAGGAACACGCAATCACGCCAGAGTACAGCATGAATAACTTAATACAAAATTAGCGTCTCTGCTACATGTCCATAATGCATAGCTGAGCTAAATAAGAGACCCTGAGAAATGTAAGGACCGAGAACGAGTAAAACTAGGGGGCGCTAGAATTCCAAGATTTTGCGGGTGCGCAACAATATCTTCTCTTTCACTGATTGCGAAATTAGCCCCCCCCCCAAAAGGATGCAGATTTAAGCGGGGAATAGGAGTAGGGGCAGCCAAAACGCCTTGGAGACACCCCATTGCAACATTTGTAAACCTTATACCGTTACTGAAACCACCGATGGCACCGGCCAGATTCAATTCCGGGGCCCCGGTCAAATTAGGCGTATGTCCCTCATCTACGGCGCGCGGCATGCATGAAACTTGCGTCGGAAAACTCACTCAACCCTTGTGAAGCCTGGCTAGATGTTCGAGGAAGGCCGCCATCCTGCAGTTCCGGTTTTGGCGGCATCGGGCGAACGGGCTGGTGACCCATGGGCAGGGTGGTAGCATCCCCTGGCTGACAGACTACTGGCTGTGCCGCCACGCCCAGTGAAGGTGCTGCAGGTACCTCCGCTGGCGCCGCTGTAGGTACTGATGGTGGCGAGCGACTGGAGTCGTTGACATCTCCCTGTCCACGTTGAGTAACCGTTGCGGCTGTGTGCCGGCGCACAGCTCCCTGTACAACTGCGGGAGCCCGGGATCCCCGCCGAGCTTTCTTACTGGGCCGAGCGCCGTCCTGTAGACGAGCAGGGGCGGATGTCCGTCGCCGTAGTCGTGGCATTCTGCGGGCTGCCCCCTGGTAGCGGTCACCTGTCGTGTGGAATCCCAACGCTGTCGTCCGCGTGGGCCTGACAGAGCCGTTCGAGGTTGCAAAATTCTGCGATGAGTTACGTTCTCTTTAAGTCCTCCACAGTTGATGGACAATACAAGGCCTCGCTCGGCGTAGAAACTTCACTACGACCGATTTATAATGGTAAGGTAAAATCCACGTGGTTTGATCGCTCGAATCTGCGACGAAAGTGGCTGGCGAAGCACGAGCGATGCATGCTGCTGATCAGCTCACTCGCGTTGACCTAATAAACGCGTGGAGCTGAATGGCCAANCTACGCCCAACCACGCAGCCACGTGGAGGGGAATTTCGACATGCCAAAACTGAGCGTCTCTGCTACATGTCCATAATGCATAGCTGAGCTAAATAAGAGACCCTGAGAAATGCAAGGACCGAGAACGAGTAAAACTAGGGGGCGCTAGAATTCCAAGATTTTGCGGGTGCGCAACAATATCTTCTCTTTAATTGATTGCGAGATTAGCCCCCCTCCCCCAACAAGGATGCAGATCCCAAGCGGGGAATAGGAGTAGGGGCAGCCAAAACGCCTTGGAGACACCCCATTGTAACATTTGTTAACCTTATACCGTCACTGAAACCACCGATGGCACCGGCCAGATTCAATACCGGGGCCCCTGTCAAACAGTTGATGGACAATACAAAGCCTCGCTCGTAGAAACTTCACTACGACCGATTTATAATGGTAAGGTACAATCCACGTGGTTTGATCGCTCGAAGCTGCGACCAAAGTGGCTGGCGAAGCATGAGCGACGCCTGCTGCTGATCAGCTCACTCGCATTGACCTAATAAACGCGTGGAGCTGAATGGCCCATGAATTTGGCGGGCTGCTCATAAGATCATGCTCAATCTCTTGGTTGTAACTTACACTCATTTTTTGAGGAGGAGTCAGGAGCAGGCTGTGAGGTTTGATATAAGTATAAAAGGTCGCAAGCTTCCACCTTTAAAGAAACGCCATTGCTCCACTGGTACAGACTTTTACAAAACGCCTGTTTAAGATCCAAATAATTGCATTTAAAAAAATTTACTTGTCAGTTTTTTCAAATTAAAAGCTAAAAACTTGTCAAGACAACAATGGGTTAGTTGGCTACCAGTAAGAACTCTCAACCAGACTTTCTTGGGCAGATTCTCCACACATGGACATCAGATTAACATTTCTTTTTACTTTTACCATGAACACGTAGCAAGTGGGCTTCCACAAGCCAGGTACCATACGTCTTATCACTACGTCAGATCGCATGGATGAAGCCAAGTACCAGATGTCAAGAGCCGGCTGGCACAAAGCGACGCAAGAGCTGATAGGGCCGGAGAGAGTGGCCGAACTCCACCCTCTACTGAACATGGATGGGGTACGGGTACCTCTTATCTGTCAGACTTTTGTCTGTAAAACTTTAAGCCAAACAAAGGACTTTGTGGACCGAGACCTGGCGTTGAGAAAGAAAACAATTTTCCAGAGTTTCCTGTGGGAAAGATCACAACAGACTATATCACAAGCAAATTTTAATGTTTCAATTAAAATTGTAAAGGATGCTTTTCTTCAAGATTTTGCAATAAAGTGTGGAAAAAGTGATTTCAATTCACAGCCCTCAGACTAGCCTGTCAAAAACTTGAACGGAGCATGAAGGAATCTGGTGGCATTACTACGGGCGAACTATACAAAACTAGGCCCTCAAATTTTGATGTTGCTTGGTACACAAGTATAAACTGGTACTACAACTTACAAAGTGATTTTAGTGGTCATTTCTATCTCCTTGCATGTTATTGTCAATATCTTATTGGTGCCTTAAGTTTTGGAGAAGTTTATTCAAAGTATTGAGATTTCCAAAATTTTCAGTCAAGGCCACGTGATAAAGTTATCACATGGTATGAATTGTTTTCAAAATGGTACCACACAGCTTTAAAAAGAAGTGCAACAATCATGGATGCCAGCTCAAGGCAATTATTACAAAACTGAAACTTTCAAAGCAGGTTTCCCACTCAAACTTGTAAGGGATTTGAATTACATGTATTATCTTCAAACTCTGTGTACATGTACATGGATAGGTCTTGGTGTTTCGCAGAAGCCAACTGAATTTGGAGATTGATCAAATATCAAGGTCATTATGGTTAAAAGCAATAGCTTTCCCACCATAACTCAAAAAGGTGAATGTACCTGCTTCAAATTTTGCGGCCTTTAGAGGTATATTCAAAGGTGTAGTGCACTACTTCGGTCCCCATTGAAAATAGTGTAAAATTGGCATTGTTCAAGGCCCAATAACATGCGTACCAACATCCCTGAGGTTTCTGAAACACATGTTAAATTATTGTACGGTCCATAATCTTTCAATTTTTTTTCAACTTTCTGTGGGTTAACCGATTACATTATTTTATTTAATCCCACAAATTAAAATTATCCCCCGAAAAGTGATTTTTCCAAATTCTGCTTGCAGCCATTTTTCAAGTGAAAACCATCAATTTTCTTGGGCACTCAGGACCATTTTTCAACTGTATTTATTTAGCTATTCTACTCTGAGATGAAAGCCCAAAGACCCAGGGAATTGATCCTGGAAAAATTTTTCACACTCTCACCATTTTGGGGGCCATACAATCTCCTTTTTCTGGGGGACACTTTTAATGCTAATGAGCTGGCCAGAAATTCTCACTTGTATTAATTAGTGGACTGCACCCTTTGGATTTGGACCTCGTAAGTAACAGCTAAAGGTCATATGATTGAAAAGAATTGAAATTGTTGTCTTACTATAACCTTGAAATAATTAAACATTGGAATGTAGGCTGATTTTACTTAATGTCCTCATGAAGCCATTTGATTTTGAACTTCATGGGCAAAAAGTCGAGGTATTTATTGTGAAATACATATTGTAGAAATAGTTTTCCAATGTTTTTATCACAGATTAAAGTCATTAGTGTAGGCATTGGCTTGATGGGACATTTGTCTTTGTTTATTTACACCGTTCTTGTTTCTGTAGATATTGGGTGGCTTGTACAATCCAGGAGATGGCCACATTGACCCTTACTCTCTGACCCAAGCTTACGCCATTGGAGCTCGTAAATATGGAGCCGAGATCTACATGCCAGCCAGCACACAGAGCCTCAAGCAGCGCAGTGATGGAGGCTGGGATGTAGAAACTGAGCATGGCACACTGACTGCCAAGCGTGTTGTAAACGCTGCAGGTCGGTATTTATGTGTTCGGTCAGCGTAGGCCTATACTGTAACCCTTGCTATCTGAAGACAAGAGAGTATTGCAAGGCATTCTGTGATGGAAGATGTCAGATCATTGTTTCTCAATGTACAGTTGTCCTTGAAACTCTAAGTAAGACAGAAGAGGGAACATGGAGGAAGAAAACGAATCAGAGACAGAAGAATTTGCAGATAAAATGTGGAATGCGATCCTTGTATCAACCATGTTGTGTACTAGGAGGAACTCTTAACGTCGGTACATAAACATCTGACGACAATGTCAACATATTGATGGAATGATTATGATGTGGTTGAGTACATGTATGGGTTTTGTGGCCTTCTCATGAGATGGGTTTGTGCATGTCATTGTCCAACCCCATGGACAGACGTCTAGTTAATAATGAACATGAAAGCATGGTTCCCTGCTTGCATCCTCCACCAGTTATTGCACAGTTAAAGCTAGCACACTGATTGCAGAGGCAAGACACAAGGGCAGTGCTCTGAAATACCTTAAGTTGGGATTGCTCTCTGCATGTTCTAGCTCCCAGCTAGCTTGGAACATTAGTAGTCGTGTTGTCAGGGCTTATCGGGGGCGGTCAGTTATTGCCAAGCACTTGCCGTCACCCTTAATTGCATTAAAGCAACATTTCTTTTTCCCCCACTTGCTTCTCATTAACCCAGGATTCTGGGCCACAGATGTGGGTCGCATGGCCGGCCTGGAGCTGCCCATAATATCCATCCAACACCAGTACATCGTCACCTCCACAATTCCCGAGGTACAGGCCCTCCCGCGAGAGGTGCCAGTCATCCGGGACCTGGAGAACTCCTACTACCTCCGGCAGGAACGGTCAGGTTTATTGATTGGACCGTATGAGAAAAGCCACAAGATGAAACAGCAGGATGACTGGTTGAGGGATGGTGTGCCCCCGGGTAGGTGTGATGATGCACCTCCCTCCCGTGGCATCATAAAATAACAAAGTAAAAAGCATGAGCTCGGGTTTTCAAGAATCAGATAGCCGGTTATAATAGATCATGACTTTGCTGAAGACTAAGCACTGCCAATCTTGAGCAGCAAGCTGCAAACGTTGGGCAAAACGATGAACACCAAGGTCGGCACAAAGAGTGGCAGTCAACTCTAGGAAGTCCATCAAATTATGTGGCTGCATGGATGGCACCCTCCTCTCAGTGGAAATGAGGGTTCCTTTGTTTTAATTCTTTATGGTCATTTAAACAAACCCAAAGGTTCCTCAAATTGTACAGGCCAGAGGTAGCCCACAGGGCGACGTTTACATGCAACAGGAACACCTCTGAATAATCGTCCGGGAAAATAAAACATGGAATCAGGCAAGAGACTGAAAAACCCTATTCAGGTGTCGATATGGGTGGGATTGGAATCCCAGTCACTCGAGTTGAAAGGCAGTTTTCTGCCAGCAGTTGAAAGTTGTGGAATTTTTAAAGCATTGCAGAAACATTCCTGGAATAGTCTTCCCTTCTATAGGAAAGACCTTTGAAGTAGCATCCAGTACCAGTCCCACGACTCTCCATATAAAGTCCAAGGAAGACTGCATTCAGATGTCTTAGACGGCTTTGCCAAACTACAGTTCCTAATTTTTTTTGACCAACATAATAGCATTCTTTGCAAAAACTAAAATTCCTGGAATTCCTTTCCTTTACCGTAGTCCCGAAATATCTTGAAAATTATCGGAAAGAGATGGAACTGACAGGTCCTAGAGAAACCTGGAATCATTTGCAAGTATAGAAATTTTCCTCAGTGATCCTCAAATTTCAGACCAGCACCGGAAGATATGGGAGTCACGAGGACAAAAATATAGCACAAAGTCTTGAAAGTCAATGGATTCAAAATTCCAGTGAAGTTATATATTTATCCCAAGGTCTGAGTTGGCAATTTTTTTTCAGTGATAAAATTTGTAACAAGTCATTGCAAAAAATCATCACTTTTAAAGCTACTTAAGAGACATCTTTATCATACACATACACGGTAGTACACCAAGGTACAGTGTGATTAGACTATGGTTCTTGGTTTTTAAATCTGTGTGCAAACCTTGTGACTGACAAAAAGATTATTTCTGCTTTTGTCGTCCATTTCAGGCTTTGGCAAAGAGTTGTTTGAGAGTGATTTGGATCGACTTATGGAGCATGTGGAAGGGGCCATGCAGCGTGTTCCTGTCCTCCAGACTGCGGACATTCAGAGCATCGTTTGTGGACCCATCACCTACACCCCTGACACTTTGGGGATGATTGGACCCTACCAGGGACTGAAGAACTTCTGGCTTGCCTGTGGCTCAAGGTAGAGCATTAAATAAGCCTGTTAGTTGCCATGTGGTCATAACAGCCACACCAACAGAAAGTGCTAAGACTCGGTCACAGAGGAGAGAGTGTGTTATCTTCAACAAAAAATGAAATGAAATGGCATATATCATTTCTTGAAGCTAACTTATGGGATCCAATTTGATATATTTCATTCATGGCGTGGTATTTTGTTCACAAGTGGGCTTTCATTTCTTACAAGGGGAAATTGGTCAAAATGCGTGGTACTCGGGCGATTGGAACACCTGTTGTACACATTGTGATTGTATGAATATACAATCACAATGTGTACCTAGACAGTCTTTGATGTATGTTTGTGTCGATCTCAAAGGTAAAAGTATTTCCACATGATTGCGTACATGTAGTATCAAGGACCATTGGGTGATGCTCTTTGCATCTGTTTATGTTGATATCGAATCTAGGCATCACTGGCTTTTATCCCCGTAAGATCCACATATCATATGAGTGGTTTTCAACCAATTTACTTGTAAGTGAATGCTTGTTTAATGGCCTCTTTTCATTTTCAAATGCTTGGTTCTCTTTTGTCCTGTTAGAAGTGGCCTTAAATAGACTTGCTTGGTATTTGGAAGTTTGTGTAGGCAGTAGTCATTCATTGCAATGTGGAATTTTGCCCTTGACCGATCTCTACACCCTCTGTCACTTGACTCAATGGTAAAACAGTGATTGCTAAAACAAGTGGGAGGTATCAGGCTCGAATCCCACGTGAGTATTAGCTTGTGAACTATCAGTGTAGTACTTGGTTGCTTTCTGTGTCTTTTTTTAGTGGTGGCATCATCCATGCTGGTGGCCTAGGCAAGTACATCAGTGACTGGATGATTGACGGGGAGCCACCGTATGATCTGGTGGAGTTGGATGCCAATCGCTTCGGCAATTGGACAAGCAGGTTAGTCCTTCCTCTATTACTTGGAAGAGAAACATCTTGTGATTGTTCACGCTGAAAAAGTTGAATGCGAAGGAGCTGTTTGAGAATGTGATTGTTGGCTAGTGGCTGAATTCACTTGTCACAGACACAGCGTTACTTTTGTTCTGCTCTATCATTCACTTACGTGCTTCTTATAGAAGTTTTTTTGTATTGTGCGCATTCTAATGAAAGCTAGCTGCTGTCCCAGTGCTGTGTCTTATTTCCATCTAGGGCCGGAAATAACACTCATGCCCTATGGAAGCCAGTGGATATTGGCTGAATTCATTTACCGTAGACGGAGCCACACTTCCAATATGCATCCCACTGAAAGCTGGTCACTTTCTTTTGCTGTTTGCCCTTGTGCCAACCCGTGTGCGGGCCTTGCTATCTTTATGTGGACCCGCAATGAAAGCATGTCCACATCATGCAGGTTGTATGAACCGTGCAATGTATGGACAAAGGCAGTTCTCCAAAAAAGTGTTTTTTTTCTCTGAAAAGCAGACTTTAGAGGCAATTGGGCCAGGGTTATCTGTAGCAAATCCAGCCGTGCAAGTGTTCACAGTTCAAAATAAATGAGTATTTTCACCAAGTTCTCTTTACGGATTAAGAAGAAAACAATGTCCGCACGAGGTAGGGGGGCTATATAATGTAACTGCGTGTCTTTAACCCCTTTTATCATAAAGTTACGGTAAAATATAATACTATACTCAGCAAATGTCCCAACTCTTTGCCCGTTGTGTGGAGTCTGAATTTATCAGTTGTGTTGGTCTTGTTTGCTAACAAACCTTGCTGGCCTATTTTCATGCACGTGCACAGCGGGTCCGCGTTGGGCTGTGTTTTCATGTCATGTTATGCGAGGTCGAAGTCTGCTTTCCTTTCTGGTTTAATCACGCATAGGGTGAGGGGCCCAAATGCAACTTGAAGTTGCGCATACGCAAATTTAAAGTCGCGCGTATGCTAATTGCTTGGGACCAACTTGTGACCAATGAAAAGTGTTACTGTTGCATGGGACGCCTTAATTACAGGAAACCACAATTAGTTTGTCACTCTATCACAGCCTTCCGAACTGGTTGACCTTCTTCAATTTGCTGACAAATTTTCCTACCGCCACCCCAAATGCTCCTTCATGTGTTCTTATTGGGGAGGCATCAATCCTGTTCTTTTTCTGGCTGGCAAATTTTGGCGGACCAGCAACCCAATTCATTGTGCATTTGCAGTTTTGGGATAAGACTGATCTCTTTTGTCTTGGAATTTTGTAACCTGACTATAGTATAGCGCCCCCCTTTGCCAAGTGGCTATACATGTACTCAAGACTGAATGTTCAACATCAGTGGGAAGACGAAATGTGTTGCACTAGCTGTGTATTTATGTAGGTAATTTCACTCCCGACTAAAATGCTCAACGTTATAGTGGGAAATTTTGTGATGATAATGTCATTTTAATAACTGAACGGACCTTTTGGTCCCGACATGGTTCGGGTCTGGTGTACCCATGGTTCGGGTCTGGTGTACCCATGGTTCGGGTCTGGTGTGCCCACGGTTTGGGTCCGGTGTACCCATTTCTTACTGTTCGGTTTGAATGAATAACATATTGCTAGTATGGTCGGAGTCTGAGTTTAATACTAGTTCTCATAAGTATGCCACACAGTGTACACAATGTATGTACATTTCGGTGCAAAAGGCCTGCACCAGAGTGGTCAGTCAAATGGAGTGCCTGTTAAGCTCTATATAAAATAGCCTAGGAATTTGCAAAGTGAAAAGAGGGCTCTTCTGCTAAATACCGTGCATTGTGTGTATGCTTCATGTGACCTATGCTGCAGTTGCATTTTGCTTAGCAGTATTTCGTGCTCATGCAGTCTCACCACTGTGACACTGGACCCAGGGGATCGGAGACCGTGGAGTATTCACAGAGAGTTTGGTGTGAGATATCTTTGGTTTTAACATCCTGTTTCCATTAGCTTCATGTGCTTATTGAAATTGGTTCTTCAAAATTAAGCGACACTGATATCCAGGAATTATAGATTACAGTATTCATTGCCAGTGTCACAGTTACACTACTAGCTGCTCAACGTCAAGTCGCAGAAGTAAATTCAAAGTATTAAACAAACACTCTATGTGTTCTTGAAAGATGCCATTTCAGAAGTTGTGCCTTGGGTAGGTATACCTTCTTTTTACCTGCCGTGTCACCACTCCGCCAAGTTGTTCCCTACCCAGAGAGCATATGTCAGAAATGGGACAATGTCTGTTAATTGCAGGGAGTACACGAGCGCTAAGGCACGTGAGATGTACGGCATGAACAATGCCATCACCTGGGCCCGTGAAGAGCGGTGGGCGGGCAGACCGACCAAACGCGTCAGTGGAATATATGACAAGCTGAAATCCCGAGGGGCCGAGTTCGGATTTCATTCAGGTGGGTATTGCATGATGGTTGATATAAAAAGCTATAATGGTCTGAGAGAGTAAACCCTCATCACTATCCACAAGTCTGACCCATATTTCAATCATAGCTTTCTTCGTAGTTTTTGGTGGATTCTGCCGAAATTTTCCACACTAAAATGAATTTTGAGAAAATGCAATAAAAGTTCTTGCATGAGTGCCCACAAATACTTATTATAAATATTAATTTGTTAATTGTCTTTACCCTGTTGTTCACACAAAAAAATCAATGTTGACTTCTGAAAAAGGGGAGAGTAAACAAATACACATATGTGATGTCAACCATCATTTGTATCTCAATTATGCATCTAGTTTTTAATGCCCATCAGCAGGTAAAGTGTCTTATACTTTGAAATTTTTGATTTTGTACCCAAGTGCATGAAATTAGAATTGTTTTGAAACTCCGTGAAGTAATATCTCTGTGTCCAAAAAGTGCTTTTTATCCACTTTTGTGAAATCCCGGTAAGTCTCAAATGTCAAAGTACATATCGAGGTCCATGTGCAAACTCTGTTAGATCCTATATTATGAACAGCATATCAGTATTTAAGTTCGTGAGATACAGATTTTTTTTATTTACCATGAAATCACTTGTAGCGTGATACCTGATGACGTCATCGTGATGTCAAACTTGCATGCACTCACAAGGCAGATGCAGGAGGCAAATAGGGGCCATGCGTGGCCCCTCCATGTTTTAAAAAAAGAGAGAAAAGTGATTTGTTTTCTCTTTTCCAGGTTTGTTCCTTCCACGGCGTGAAAAAAGCCTCTAGACGTAGCATCTCCCCCAGAAAGGCCCCAAAAAAATGACATGAGAAAACTTGAAAAATGTCTGACACCCCAACTCCCCCCCAAAATAAATTTGGCCCCCAGACAAAATTTCGTTTTAAGTCCACCCATGTGCACATCTAGGGATCAGGGGTGATGTTCTTGGTTTCAAGTTAATACATAGCATACAGTCTTGGAGAAAAGCCACAGAGAATCATCCAGAAAAAAAAAGGAAAGAGAAACTGAGATAGATCATTACAAACCCAAGAGGTGACCAGCAGTACTCGATCACCTCATTCCCCCGTGTATATATCTGCTGTGGTTGTTTTATCTTAGGCTGGGAACAGCCCCACTGGTTTGCACTGGATGGCGACGAGGCCGGGTACAAACCCAGTTTTCGTCGGTCCAACTGGTTTGAGCCGGTTGGGCGAGAGTACGAAATGGTGATGAAGCGAGCCGGGATCATCGACCTCAGCCCGTTTGCCAAGATTGAGGTGACGGGAAAAGACGCTTACGGATACCTGGACAGCCTGCTGGCCAACAAACTGCCGGCTGTAAGGACTATTATGTAGTTCCCTGCTTGTCTATAGTCCAATACTTCACATTTTACAAATATGGTTTGAGGGTGGATAGTAGATTTCAGCTCCCCAAGGTATTGGACACTAGGTCCCAATGTAAAATTGACCATTTGTAGATGTTTTTATATGTTTTTCACACCAGAGCTGTTTATAGAGAGACGAGAGTTCCGACATGAGTGTCTCAACTGTTGGAACCAATATGGTGGATTTACATCTGTGTACATGGACAATTAGCACACAGTAGCTGCGTTTTGTACTGCATACATAATGAACAGCCATTTTGGTTCCAAAGTTTGAAATCTACTGTCTGTATACAGCTGTGCCACACATCTGACAATTTTAGTTGCCATTGAATCATCAGGAGCAAGAAAAGGCAGCACATGAACATGTGCAGCAATCTGTTCATGTGTACAGTGTTCGTATAGCATAACTAAGGTGATGCTGGTACATTCCTACTTTGCCCATGTGCACCATTCCACCAAACTGTTTCCGGGGAGCACGGTTTAGCACAGTTACTATTGTTCCAGGGAAAAGTCAGTACGTTAGCATACACTACTCAAAAAAAAGTTAAGGACCACTCTTTTCTTAACTTGTAATTTTTTCCAAGTAATGTATGGGGTCTAGTTCTTTTATTTTTTGTTTGTCTAGATGGTGTTCTCGATTAAATAACTGAATAATAAAAAATGTTTCAAAACATCAAATGCACATTTTCAGCAAAAAGTGTGCACAAGATAAAAAGTGGTCCTCAACGTTTTTTGAGTAGTGTATGTTTGACTTGTAAGTTAATACTTACATATGCTCCTGGTAAATAACAGAAATGGTGACTAGAACCTGATGCTAAATGAACCAGTGAGAGTCCAGCTTTCGATCATGAATATGTATGAGGTATGGTATTTTTCACAAGCCATCACATATAACAATAGTACTTTACCTTCAGCTGGAGGACAATAAGACAGGAATGTCTGTATTTATGCATGAATATAAACATTTTTCAAGTTCCGATTGCATGGGATTTTGTGACCTTCACCTGTCGAAGTTTTATTAATTTTTATTTCTGGTAACGAGGGTTCTTCAAAAGTGCCCATCACAGGCTTCACAGTAGCTCACAGAATTAAGAAACCTGGCAATGAGCCCGTTTAAGTACAGCAGACACTGTTTGGTTTGGGTAAGATAGTGTTGATAATTACTTCAATTTACCATACTTTGCTCTACACCACCAAATAAGCTAATGAAGGCATGTTCGGGGGTAGGGGAAATCCTTTAATGGTATTGCAACATGTGTCACAAAGGTGGAAAGTTAGGAAAGTATTGTTGGCCCACCTCGCACCCCTCTTCGCGTGAAGCCACTGCGATCATTTACGAAGTACTTGACTGTGGCCACATATGAAACTTGGTTGTTGAATTTGTTGGCAGGATGCAATGCTCTGGAAATCTTGTCCACATTTGTTGAAACACCTGTGAGCATATTATACACAGATTCACCCTCTCTTCTCCTGTCGGTGAGGGTGCACTTGAACTGTGCCCGCTGAGAGTATCACAGTGCGGTCGAAGCTGCCTCCTGTCCCGACCGCCCCCCATCATTCTCAGGGGTGCACCTTTTGTTCTGTAATTACGCTACGGAGTGGAATAGATAGTGTCACCAGGTCAGTTAGAACCCTCGTGAGGTGGAAGCTTTGTTTCTAATGCAGCCAGGTCAACTAAACGCTGTCAACCAAAGTTAACAACCTGTAGAGTCACATTTCTCTATTATGGTGTATCCGATTCAAGGGTCCATGGGAAGGGATAAAGGAATTAATTGTTTCCATACCGACTGTCCAATTATTGTCTTTGAAAGAATCCTCACCTAGCCCCCAGAGAAAGGTCACGTAGTTGTACCATTTTTAAAGCACTGGCATCCTCACCCCCCAAAAAAAATTGAAACCGGCAACATGTTAGGGGACCCCCCGCTTGGATACGCAACCTTTCTTTTACCAAACGTTGGTAATGATTAACCAATGTCCATATTTACATAAAAATTCCCAAGCACATATTTGTAGTGGGTATGGATGATTATCAGTATATGTCTCAGACAAGGAGTGATTCGCCCCTCTGCATATCACCGTACCTAGGTTGGTCAATGCGCCCTGTGCCATATGCTGTCACCCAAGGGAAAGGTCTACACTGAGGTTACAGTAAGCCGACTGGCAGAGAACAAGTTCCTGGTCATCACAGGTTCTGGCGTAGAGTTCCATGACCTAAGGTCGGCCTAGAGTATCAAAAATTCCCCTTTCTCCGTCTCGTATTAGGAAGAATGAAAATTCAACATAGGTTTCAAGTTGTAGAAAAAGGTTACCGTTACTTCACATTTGAAAAATAAAAATTAAATAAACAGCAAATTACCATGAATTTTGTTCGATTGCTTCATGGATGTATAAAAGAATATACTAAACAAAAATATTTTGAAATCACGGGAATAAGTTTGAGCGTTACCGGGAGCAATGAAGCATGCAAAGGGCTTGAACACCTTCAGAGTAAACTTTGAAATAAGTAATAATACTTTTAGTGTAAAATTGTTCAGTGTTATGACCGCTCCTCCAATCTGAAGATGTGTTTGTAACTTTCCAAAACCAGTTGGATGGAAGATTTTGCTTGGAAAGGCAACTACGAAGTCAGCTTAAACAACTTCACTGACAGCATGGCCTGTCTCTGCCTGGCAGGGCCGTTGTCTCGAGACGTGCTGGCTCTCATCACTGACGCCGACCTGACCAATGATGCATTCGCCTTCATGGACGTCAAGGATATCACTGTCGGCGATGTGCCCGTCACTGCTGTCCGAATCTCCTACACAGGTAATGCAAACCGACTTGAAGTCAGAACACAAGAGCATCATGAGATCATCACGTTTATAACACCTCACCTTTAGATTCTGTATCTTGACTGGCTAAGAGCTTGTCACATGGCATTCACTTATTTATACTAATTTGCTGTACAAGATCAAATGTACTATTCCAATAGCAGCCAAAGCACTACGGGCATCAGGTGCCAATGCATGTTACACAAGTGTACACATTCTATTTATTCCCAGCTGCTAAAAAAAGACACCACAGGGCTGGGTTGAAATTTCTTTGTTCGGGTGGTATGAAGAATTTCTCGTAAATTGTCAACAAATTTGTTTCAACAATTATTTAAGTTACACTTATCAGTTATCACCTAATTCAAGAAGAATCTATGGGAGGGGATTTCTTTTAAACGTACACATTGTTTGCTTTGGTCTTGTGGTGTTGTAAAACTATGGTTTCTGCAGCCTTTCTATTTTTCACATTATATTTTCCTCCAGCTTCACCTCAGGAATAGACTTATCGATGGACTGCCCTGGGACATAACTTCTGCCGCATTACTCAAAGCAGTCAATATTTGTATAGAAGCTCAGAGGCATTTTGAAGTAAAATAGCTGTTTCTGTCATGAAGTAATAAAAAATATTGCCATTAATGGCTGTGTCATTTCTCTTTCAGACCTACTTGTTTTATGTCACTGGTAGTTTGGGTCATCTGGCTGATAGGCATCTGAAACTGGCATAATATTCTCACAGAATTACCCCTCCCCCCCAAAAAAAAAATAAAACATGTCTCTGACATCCAAGGCCTTATTTTCAAATTATACAAAACAATGTATTTCCAGATATAGTAAACTTTCAAACTTTTGAATTTTGAAATCAGCAACCAATTAATTTGTTTTAAAAAAAAATGATTGTTTTCTCCTCAAGGCGAACTTGGCTGGGAGTTTTATCACAAGGCGGAGGACACAGCCAAGCTCTACGATGCTCTGCTTGAGGCAGGAAAGCCCTTGGGAGTTGGAGACTTTGGATTATACGCGATGAACGCCATGCGCATCGAAAAGGGATTTCGCATGTTGGGACAAGAGGTAATTATGGTGTCAAAGTTGAAGGACATTAAGCAAAGGCTTCAAACGGTAGCAATGGAAGAGTCCTGTTAACTTAAAGACAGTTGCATGCATGTGTCAAGTCCCACAAAAGTCCCTGCTAGACCATCGCTAGTCATCTAGTCTCAAGCCAAGTTACAATATTCAAATGATTTGTGACAGAAGCATTCCTTTGTCATTGTTCACCTTGTTTACATACATGTATGACTGGTCTCCTAGAAGGACTTGTTACTGCACTCATGGAAGGATTTGTAATGGGCTCATATCACCTGTGCTACTGGTTGCATTGCCATTTATACATGTATCTGTCTTCAAATATAGTTTGTGATTTTGTTGTGAAATCGTAACTGCTTTGACTGAATAGGTTTGATATGTTATGTTATGTTATAATAGGTTTTTTATGTGACTCTGAAAAAACTGTGATTTATCTTTCATCGTCTCTGAAGCAATGGATCCTTCAGCATAGAAAGAGAAATATGTTAATGTAGAGAGAAAGATTTTTGTTATCTGCAGGTCCCGCTTGATTGGTGCCATTTGGTGATATCCTGTCCAATAGAGTCAGTAGTTCTGCTGACTTGTCACATTTTAACGACGCAATTTGTTTGCCAAGTGGGGTCCTTTATTTATTAATTAAAGTTTTATCTGCTCATCCAACATCACATTTAACGCCAATTATATGATGATAACGAGTGAGAAAGACAGTGAAGAAAGGTTCAGTTTTAGAGGTGGGAGGAAAACCCCGGATAAATGTTTTGGAGAAAACCCACGGACTCATGCAGGGACTGAACACCAAATCCACATGTGGACCAAGCTGGATTTGAACTGCGGCCCCCAGAGGTGGAAGGCGAGGGAAAAACACTACACAAACTTTATTTCTAACTGTTGAAGTTACATGTACATCACCCGCTGTTCCATGTTTTGTTTCACAGATGTCAATGGACAATAACCCATTTGAAGCTGGGTTGGATATATTCATCAAACTCAAAAAGGTCAGTCTGAGAAATAGGTCCTGCAAATGAGGATTCGAGCCAACTCCCACATCATTGAAGTAAGCTAGGCTTAAAATAAGAGAAAGCTTCAGAGTATTGTCACCAGAAAAAAAATGTCTCCACTTTTTCAGGAGGCCGACTTTGTTGGTAAGGCGGCCGTTCAGAAGATGAAAGACGAGGGACTTCAGCGTAAACTGGTTCTGCTGACGGTGCCCAACACTGACAATGTTGACCCTGAAGGCAACGAGACACTCTGGCTTAATGGCAAGGTGAAAGGAAATGTGATTCATGCTTCTGGTAGATTGGGGCAGTTTCTGAACATTACTTACTGGTTTCTGAACATTACTGGTAGGTTGTCGGCAACACCACGTCAGGCTGTTACAGCTACCACCTCGGCCAGAGCATCTGCTATGCTTACCTGCCCATGGAGCTGACGGCAGTTGGGACAGAGGTTGAAGTAGAGCTCTTGGGAAAGAGGTACCCCTCAACAGTGACCAAGGAGCCGCTGCTGCTCAAGGAGCAAGCCAGAAGGAGGCAGAAATCCGAATAAGAGGTGAGAGTGTTCAGCCATCGGATCAATGCTTGCGTAATACGTATTTTAAAAGAACGGTGCAGTTAACTTTTCTAAGAATCATTTTTGTGCACGTTTAAACTCTTCTTCGGTGTATGAACGCTGCAATCTCTTGGGGGTTCAGTGAACTATAAACACTCAAAATTGACCAAGCTTTTCCAGACAAGTGAGGGCGCTGTGATGTAAATCCAGGAAGACACTGTTGAGTTTGTACATGTGTGATTTCATGTTCACATTTTGAATCCCAAATTAGCTCTATGAAACAATTCTCAGAAAAAGTTGATCACTGGCCTTTTGCAATTATGCATTGTACAACAATACTTGCCAAAGGAAATTGAAATGTTCTGTAGGGAAGTATAAAAAAATCTATCAATGTTCTGTGCACAAATCAATGCAACATTACGTTTCAGCGTCTTGGATTACATCACAGTTTTGCTCATGAATATCCAAATTTATATTAGCACAAACATCAAAAGAGAACCGAAAATGAAGATAAAAATAGCAATATAAAATTAAAAATAAAATTAATTAAAACACAGGGCAATTTTAAGGATTTTTGTAAAATATTTCTACTATATGGTCCCTTTAACAAGATTAAAAAATCAGTGCAAGGGGTTTCGGACAGTTGCAGACATTTTTGAAATTTAAAGGGGTCATGTGATCATCGTGGCAATCCGATCTAACACCCCAAGGCTACAAATTGTGTAATTTGCGTTAAAGAAGTGAATGTGTGTTCATACCGTACAGGCCAGGGTGTCTATCTGCCCAAGAATTTAAACTGCAAGCTGGTTTCCTATCTCCCTTCACATTCTAGACTTTGTGAAGAGGGAGTGGGGACCATTCCGGAAGTGATGGGAAGTCTTACCTTACTTGTTATCACATGCAGTCAATGAATGACAACTGAGATTCCTTTATCTTTGAACAAAGAAAATGCTTCCCTTTTTTAAATAAAGCAAGGTAACTAGCCTGCGTAACTTCTAAAGAGAACCTCTCTAAATACGAAAGAGCGAAACTAGGGACAAGACAATTTAGAGTGAAATCACTCTCAATTGAGATTGAAATACTCTGACAAAAATAATCACTTCAGTCGGAGTTCGAGTGAAACTGGATCTTTTCGACTGAAGAAATTTCACTCTAAAACGTCTGGTCCCTAGTTTCCGACTAATGCAGGAGTGAATTTTCACTCTTTGGAATTTAGAGCGCATTCATCTCTTATTTTGACTTTTCTACAATAAAAAGGTTTATAAATGAAGTAAAGTGTTTGGACATAAGATTTGAAGATGTATTCACACTCCAGGCTCCGAGTGTAAAATATCATGTGAGTAATTAAAGATAGTATTAGAACCCGTGGAGTTCTAGCATAGGTACGTGTCACATCCAAGTGGGGGCCTTCATTTTTCTGTACATCGTATTAAAACTTCAGAGACAGCTCACGACAATGAGTTAGTTTTACCCAAAAAACTGAAATATTTGTGCAAAAAAAGAGGTAATACTATTACCATTTATGCTCTAGGCAGGGCATATTGGGCACAGACATAGATATAAGGAACGCTGTGGTTGTTGATTCTCCTACAAGAATCAATTAAAATAAGGTTCCTAACACTGCCGCATGTGGACCTAGACCACGGCGTTTGATTTTATAATTGTCTCTCCTGAGAAGAATTACAAAGGAACTGTATTAGGAATTTCCGATGTTGTCAAGCCCATCACATGTCCTTGGAAGTCGGCAAACCCTTCCAAGCCATCGGATGGCAAGTCAAGTCACTCATTAGTCAACAGTGGCATTCCTTTGTCATTGTTCACCTTGTCACCTATGGCAGGACGAGTGATAAACTCATTGGCAATACTGTACTGTTAGTTTTGTCTCATTTTTTCAGTGGGTTCTTCAAAGCTCAAAATTTTGGACGGCCAAGCAACCCTGTTTATGCAAAGTAATTTGAGACCAGTTTTTCGTGCGAGAAGGGAAGGGGACTTGATTTTCATGAATGCATTGATAAATGCATGATGGGTTTTGTAAGTGTCAGTGCAGAACCGTCGCTCAAGATTGTGATCATTGTGCCCTTTGAAAATGTTTTCTTGCGCCAGTGTTCAAAAAGAGAGTTGTATGTCTGCATTTGACAGAACAGATATCAGTGTTGGGCAATTAATTAATGAGGACACTTGAAATCATTGTATCTGATACATGCAAGTATTGTATTCAGCAAAACAGCGTAATGTGACATAAAACTGCCCAGTGTCTTCACGATATCCTGCCCGTTTTGTGATGTATGGCAAATCAGGATTCAGATGATAATGCCAGGTATTGAAAAATGTATGGGAGGATCTGGAACCAATTTGTTTTCTTCAAAATTCGTTACATTTTCGAATCATCATTTCTTATTGTTTCCAATCAAGGCTAAGGCGACACGTCACAGCAACGTTTCTATCATTTTGTTTCTGAAATTGTCGTCATCAAACAGTAATCTTTTAACATATTATTCATGTAATGTATCCTTTTTTCGGACTGAATATTTTTAATCCAATTTAGCTTACTTCAAAAGTGTATTTCATACAAATAAATATTTTAATTAGATCAGAGGATCATAAAAATAAAGATATGAAATTTCAAGTCAATAAGAATTTTTGTCGACTCCATCACTACAAGTTAATTTGTAGTTGCAGTGTATAAGACCGACTCAAGACAAAATTTGAAACTGAGGCAGCAGAAATCGGGCAGTATTTACACATGCATTTCTGGAATAATGACATCACAGAATTTTGATGTTATTGGAAACCTTCGTGGTCTAATTATTAGTTTAATGCGATAACATCTCTGAATGACGTGACGAAGTCAAATAACGTGAAGAAAGAGGAAAACAAGGCATCTGGAAATTCCCTTCAGTCACTTCACGATAATGGTGTTGTTATTGTGAAACTTCACAAAACAAACAGTTTGTGTTGAAATCAAGGCCATGTGACTTTTGGTCGTAATGAGCAGTTCGGTGTGGCCCTGCGCGGATTTGGGCACATGCTTGACCGTGAATGACCATGCTTTAAAATACCAAACTGGGTCATAGGTAATGTTGCCCAAAATGCAGTCTACCAGGTCTCAAAATAATGTAAAATGTGCTACCTCATTTAATTCAGTGTTTAAATTTTGACCTTAAAGAACTTGAAATTTGATACTTGTTAGCTTATGATCATAGAGCTCTAGGCCTATGTTATGATTATCGGCATTCAATACGAGATTTCGATATAAAAAGGAAGGAAACAAACAATAATGAAGTGAAGAAAGGGGTTAAAAATTACCAGTATGCTTGAAATACTTCGGAATTTCACACCTCCCCTTCCACCGTTGATACTTCGTCAGTTTGCTGCAGCAGATTTCGAACGAATAGGTCAGTACCCCCAAGCTTCTTGATACGCCACTGGCACGGTACGAACTGGACGCGTGCGCAAATGATGCCAAAAAATCCCTGCAAATCAGTGAAAAACTTACGGAAGCGTATAAAGGCCAATTGCAAAAAAAAAATTGGAGATACTATCTCGCCACGGCGACTTAATTACTATCTCGCCGCGGCGAGTAAGCTAAAACTACTAGCTCAACTCGCTGCATATTAAATTTCAGGCTAGGTACCAGACCCATTTATTCTGACTACTCTCCCCCAGATTTCCGGAAATAGTCGAATTATTCCGAACTTATCCTGTCCGTATTGAATTCAGTTTTACGTCAACACGTTTTCATTAATGCTCCTCGATCGAAATTGTAAAAATTGTTACAAAGATTAAAATGAATAAAATTGGGTAGCCAAATGAGTAAAGGGAGAAGAAAAAGAACATTCGGATTGTATCGGTAATATTCCGGTATTTCTGGCTGCGTCTGTACCAGGAATTTTGTGAACTGCCCGGGTTATATCGGTTGGAGTACTCCCCAATTATGAAGCAGAACTAGGGTCAAAAAGAGTGGAACATGTTTTGATAAACGGAAAGCATTTTTTTAATGGAACGTGTTTTGAAGCGAATGTAATTTTTGAAAACTTCGTAATTTAGAAATGTGGAATTTATTTTTCAAAAGCGAACGAAATTTTAAGGATTTAAAACATGTTTCTATATTCGAATAAAGTTTTAAAGAGTAGATGAATTTTCATTGACGCTGCTTATTTTCTAGATTCCAAGGAATTTCAAAGAACGGAATTTTTTTCAAAGTCCAAAAAAGACTGCATGGAACAAAGTTTTAAAGTTCAATTTTTTTTCAGATAGAAATAAAATATTTTGTACATAACGGACTGAACATATTTTGATATAAGCCGCCGCGGCGAGAGAGTATCTCGAAAAAAAGTTTTTGCAAGTGGCCCTTATACGCTTCCGTAAAAACTAGACGCAGCGTTTCTGCTGTGCATGCGGCAAACATCTTGGACAGAGTTTCATATACGGACAGCACTTGATGTCTCTATGCCCAAGCCTATGAAACTTGTCTGAAAAAAAGGTGTTTTCCAAGTAAATGCTAAGGAATTTTCTCGGCTAATGTTCACTTTTTAGGACATGTTATTACTTTCTGTTGGCCGTTACAACATTTTAAGGGGAAAATTAGTGTCTGTAAATGTGGAATTTGTCAACTTCCTAGATTTTGTTTCGCTCACAGCTAGCATAACCTATTTTGATTTATACCAGGCTCCACAAAGAGAAATACTGTCCTGCACATCCTTGATAACAGCCAGCTGATTCCCGGGTTTGCTGCTGGCTCTGTTCATAGTGATAGCCCGTAACATGTGGGCTAGCACTAACCTTGGGGAATAAGTGATGTCCTGTGGTGCACCAGACAGTTCCGGCATTCAAGTTACGGTTCGTGTCCAAACGCATATCTGCCCGCGAGCTCGCTCAATGCTTTACACAAGCGTCGATTATCAATTCAATATTTTTTTCTATTTCTTCTTCATTGCTGAAAGTATTCTCACTGCACTTTATTCGTTCATCGAAAATTGATCAGGATAACCAATAATTTGAAATATATCACCAAAAAACACGTGGTCAATGATACTTATTGAGAAGATAAATTACCACACTGTGATTGTACCGAGGCCATGTTTTTATCACACAGCCGACACTTTGCCCGTGCCAAGGCATTGCCATTGGAGAACCACAAATTAAATAACGGTTCACAAACAGGAAGTCACAGGTCGTGCACAATGTGCCATAGTGCAAGCCCTCAGCACTTCTCAGCTCCTTTTTGGGGCCTGGGTGACGACCAACTATGAGCCTCGAGCTGGACCAAGCGAGGGCGCAATTTTAGCAACGGAGCTCCTTTGGTCGGACTGCACTTTGCTGGTTCACAAACAACGAACGTGGCAACATTGAACCCGGGAAGAGGTTTTCAAGATGCATTTCGATGTTGTCCTATTATGATTTTTTTTATTAATAAAATGATTGTTTACCAAATACTATACGTCGTACCAATGTGTGAAATATTAGTTTATTTATTGGCCAACAGTGCCAACTTGACAAGGAAAAAATTTCCATTTTTTGCTTGATGGTTTGGCCATGTGTGAGTAAATATCACGATGTGAGCAAAATTTGGCCGAGTGTGAGAAGAACCAACTGATTGCGTTAAAACAACTAAGTATTGAGCTTTTTGTACTTAAAGATATAAACAGACCAAACAGAATCAGCAGCATAGCTGCAACAATAAACATAACAAGATGGAAAGTTCTAGAAAACGGGTGGTTTTTCATTTTTGTATTCATTTCATGGCGTTGAAACGAGGGTGAAGCCTCGCGTCCAGTGTCAAGCAAATACAAGTGCCTTCTTTGCCTTGTAACGTGGAGGTTGCTGTCTGATGAAATGCGACCAATTCCTTTGGCAAAGAATTGACAGCGTCACTCAGTAAATTGCCCGGGATGAAATGAGTCCCAGATTTGGCAATCCTGTATATGTGTGTGTACATGTAGTGATGTTAGTTCGATTCATTCGCGTGGTTCCTGTGAAAATGGAAGCCCTCAGTACCAATCTTCGTAGCTCAGAACTGATGTAAATCTTTGCCACAGGCTTCTCGCTCATGGTCTGCTGAAACACCTGAGGGTGGATGACATGATTTTAAAACTTACAGGGCTACCAACGATAAATTTGCGACCAATCAAAACGGAAAAGTGGATTGACATATCCTGTGGCGAAGCCGTTTGATCTCTGTTTTGTCCTAACCATGCAGAGGCAAAATAAGACCTGTGCATGATTTATGTTTTTAGGTGGTCTTCCAACCTTCAAACGGAGGCCCTTAAATATATAAAAAAAAAATAAAAAGGACAGTGAGCGAGGGAGGTGAGGGTCCAAGATCCGCACTAAAGGTTACTGGATTCGTCATGCAGTGCGTGGAGGCATGACGTCATAGCGCTTCCCACTGCACTGTGGCAATGTGTAGGTGTTATCGTTGGTTGATCATGCATTGTTCTTACGGTTGATTTATTTTTTATTTTTTTTTTTTTAGTTTTCCACACACTGCCCTCAGAAATTAGCAATTGTATTTCTCTCATCACAAATGACGAAAATTGAAAAATGTTTCAACACAACCTGTTTTGTGCAAAAGTAATTACATGTACTCCAAATGCGTCGTTTTCGATTTGATTTCTTCGAGCTTAACACTCCATTTCGTTTCAATTGTCATCATTATTTTTTCGGCGAATTGAGTCAGCATTTTACGTACCAGCAAACTTCGCTTCCAGGAGTGTTCGATGTTTCCGCAGAGTAATGCAAGCCATTTTGTTGCTTCCACTGGAATAATAGATCGTTTGTGTTTTTCAATCCAATTAGTTTGACATTTATTGTACTTTGACATGCACGGGAGGTTGGTATTTCCCGCTTGAAGTAACCTAATACCAGCATAATTGTTTAGATTTTGATGGTTTTTTTCTCACTATTATAACTCAAAGCCTAAAACTGTAGCAGGCGAGTTAAGTAATGTCAGTTCACTCGGGGACTTTAAATTCTAATACCTTAAAATGTGACCTATCTTATATCAATCTGGCTCGCTTCTAAAGCTTTGCTGGCTTCAGTTTCATAAGTTGTATAGTGCTGGATGTCCCAGTTCACTGCAAACTTTCCGCAGGGTCTGTTTCGCACAGATTGGAAGGGGGATCGGGATAGCGTAGAGGTTCTTTGCTCGCTTTGCACCGATGAGGCCTGGGTTCGAGTCCCGGCTTGGCCCAGGCTTTGCATTTGGTTTCCAGTCCATACTCGCTCTCGCAGGTTTTCTTTGGGTATATACTCCGGTTTCCTCCTGCCGCTAAGGCGGGACCCTCTTCGTAACTCAGTAGGGACCCCATTGGAAATAAGTTGAAAAACTTTCATGGGCTATCCTTGGTATTATTAATTGTGATGGAAACACTGAATAAATCCCTCGCAATCAGTGACCCGACATTGGTTTACCGACACCAACGCCACCGTTGTGGATAGAGTGAACAAGCGTGGGTATCATTGGTAGTCCTTGTGAAGCAAACTTGCCCTGTGACATTTACAATTTCAAACCACAAAGGCGACAATGCATAGCCTTGTTTTCTGGGCACTTTATGTCTGCCAAACTTGTCCAATACAGGGATTAGAGAAGGTCAATGCAATCCAACAGCGACAGACAGAAATCCGAATCAATCTGAATTTGACAAACTTGGCTCATTCCGATACGATCTGATGATAGAATTCGTGACTCAATCCGAAACCAACAAAGGGTACTGAATCCTAATCTGACAAAATCCGAACTTATATAAATAAAAACCTGATATCTGTGTTGCGAGTCACCAACATGAATGTAAAATTTATGTACATGTATGTCTGACACCGTTGAAGACCTAACCAAAAATTGTTCACGAAGTCTAGGAACAGTGACGACATCAAATAAGTATTTTGGTGCAATCCCAGACTTTCTTTGGGCAAAAATACTGATGAATCCTTTCGTCTATAAGAAAAGTTTCACACTCTCAGAGCAACTAAGGCAATAAAATTATGCGGTTGCAAATAGTCACTTTGTTCCAACATGGAGGTGGTTGTATTAGGCAGTGTCCGCTCACTACACATAAATAATTGTGTTTGGCCGACACAAACCTTTGTCTCATTGTCTGAACAGATAAATGGAGGTATCCGAAACACAACCAGGAAATATTGTAGCATTCTGGCAATTTGCACGTTGTTTTACCACAAAAATGCTAATAATTATGCATGTCGAAATCCACCCCCCCCGCCACATCCACCCCACCTCAATTTCCCCAGCCCCCAACCAACAACCACCACTAAAGCGCACAGCAGAGGTCCACTGTGTGTAAGTCTCTTAATCACAGTCGTGCAATTATTGTTGACATTCGGCAACAACGAGGCTAGCAGTGGAAGACGGGGGTGGACTTGTACCCACCCCACCCCCACTTTTCAGAGTGAGGGGAGTATCATATCTTCCCCTCATTTGTCTTCCAGTTACAGTTGGGAAGTAGGGCTATATAATGATTAATATCTGCCTAATCTCTCCTCATATTTTCGGAAAAATGGGACTTACAAACAAAAAAGGCTCCAAATGTACATAATATTTTCAAAGATAGAAATCATTTCAAAAATGAAAGAAATGTTGCCAAAGTATTTACCTTAAAAAGTTTAGCGGTCAGAAATTACCTCAGACCGCACTGCAAGAGCAAAGAATCAATCTTTCCAGGTGCCCTCAAGTGACCTCCAGACCCCGTGCCATAATTAGGGGTTTGCTTTTCGCTCTCATGTTTAGTTCTGATCAAGGTTATGCCCCCTAATTTTTGAAAAGCGATTGAAACCTCTGCTGATTGATGAAGTGTTATGAGAGAGGCAGTAGAGGGCCACACACAGAGGGCAGGGGCGGATCCAGGATTTCCCAAAGGGAGGAGGGGTGGCGTGATCCAGAGATTTCCGTGGGGCATGAACTAAAGTAGCAATAGTATCATGCCCTTGAACGTGGAGCTCGAAGCCCTTACGGCGTGGGGTTCGATGCCCGCTTAATTAAGGGATTTTAGGCGCTCTGTGGTGCAATTTCAGGCAGTATGGCCCCTCTATTTCCTCCCCCTCCCTTTTTCTTCTTTATTATTTATTTATATATTTTTGGTTAAAAACACGCCCCCCCCCCGATCGGTTCCTGGAGGGATCAAAAGTGTTTGCACATGAATGGGTTGGTAGCAGGCCCGGAATTTTCTGGTTGGCCTGGCCGCTAATGAATTAACTCTACATTATAGGTGACTGCAGTCTGAAAATATTATGGTCCTCGACTGAGGAAAACGCAGAATTTCCTGCTTATTGTCTTAACAAATTTAACAAAAACACGCCAACAACTGCTTATTTTTAGAGTCTTGGTTGCTCCGAGAGTTCCTGCTATGTTCTTGTGTACTCGTAAAATATATGGAAAGTAAATGCCAAGACAGCCACTAACAATGACAGAACTATTTCGATAAAAACGTTTTTACCAGAAAAAAGGACTAGATAGAATGTTGGATTTATGCGGGTTGGTCCACAACGTTAAAATTGGGAACAGGCGTGAACGCCAAATCTAGGCGGGAACAGGCAATCTCAGAACGGTTTTTCATGCAACAACCGGGTTATACTAAATATTCATAAACTGTAGGCATGTTTCACATTTTCTTAAAGGGGCATATCTTGTACAGGAACAAGAGACCGACAAGATAATACAAACTTAGAAAACTCAGCTTTGATCCATTGTCCAGGTATAAAAGTACCAAATAAAAAATAAAGGAGTCATTTTACATAATTAACACATTAATTTATGTATTTTCTGTCTAAAATATAATTGTTGTCTGTACTACAAGGATTAATTGACGAAGTCAAAGTAAAGTAAAATTCTATCACACCAAAGGTGCCAATTTACATCGTGTGCGTTTCTGAAATTATTTAATATTTTTATGCACTGCCTAAACTACTTCAGCCACATCAAAACAGGAATCCACAAGGGTTTGAATTGTCTGCAGTTTGATTTTTTCCACCCCGTCACCAACGTCATTTTCGAAAAAGTTATCCCTAATTGTGTTAAGACGAACAATTTTCAATTCTAATTTTGTATCCTCTCAATAAAAAACAACAGAACGAAACAATAGAAAATTAACCTAGAAATAAAACAAAGAAAAAACAACAACAACGGAACAGTATGTTACCTGTTCACCAAACTGCTACCAAGACGACTGCAGATGTCACTGTTAAACTCGGAAGGCTTAGCGCATTAACAGCGCGCTTGAACGATATGGGAGAAAATCTTGTGGTAGGCGGGGCTCTTTTACGATTCAAAATTGCACGAGGCGGTTTTGCGTGTCTGAATGTACTTGAGATTCCCTCGACCTCAAATGTCTGTGTTGTTAGCGTTAATACAGGAGAAATTACCGGGCAGGTACAATTTTTTTCTGTGGAAAAGTCATTTAAAAACAAATTGATTTGAAACTAATAATTCTAAATAAGGAAGCAACTCGGTACTCGATGTCGATCTGATACAGCATTTCAAAAGTTAGCGGAACCGGGAAGTTATACTCTGTAGACTATCGTGCAGATTGACTGATTTGATGGCTTTGCTGAATGATCAAACTATGCATGCCTTGGAATATTTTTAATACGTACCAGCAGTTATTTCGGGACAAAATAGAAAGCTTCATTTTGAGAGCACGCAACATATGACAATGCCCAGAAAATAAATTTGTTTCTTGATCCACCACTAACTGGGAAGGCGCTAAGTATTTCGTCTGTCAGTTTCAATTGTTATCTGAAAGCCATTCCAAATTTCAGAAATTTTCCTCTCTGCGAACTGCGCCATAACAGCCATTATTTTCTTACTGTTTTTAAGCAGAGCTGCTTCCGATAAAAAATTAAAACAAGGCCAATTTTCGAGGGTACCGTGTGTAAAAAACAAAACAAAACAAAACAAAAACAAAAACAAAAAAACCCAAAAAACAATAAGTGTTGTCACTCGATAGCAGTCTTACAGTCTATCGACAATAATATTGTAGTCCTCATAATCACACCTCGTGTTACTTTTAAAGGTGGCTCGTCCTTTTGTAAGAGTTTGTCCATCATAACATACCCTGTATCGTTATGCTGCAGGGTCTAGTCTCATTTGGCTTTGGCCACACTGGAAACAAGAATAATGTTGAAATTTTGTCCATACCTGCAGTAGTCCGCTGGATTTCATATACCCAGCAAGATATGGGGCGGAGGGATACCCCCCTTATATGTCCAATCCCTATACACACTCATGTTACCTAACACATCCCCATATGTCTGTATTAAAAGAATTCCTGAGAATCTGATCGAACAATGACCAAAACAAAGGTGGTGGTGGCACTCTCCGTCCCATATCTTGCTTTATGAGTTTTATATATATATGTACGGATTTCAGGTTGCCTAAGCTTTGAAACTCAACCAAATTGTGCGGTCCTCTCTTTTATAAATTAAGTTTATTCGACCCTTGTGGGCTATTTGGAAGCACGAATCTTCTCCTGTTAGAAATCAGCCTAATCTAAATTATGTTAGCTGATTGAGGAAGAGGGCAAAAACTTATGTGAAAAATATTAAAAACTGGCAATAAAAAGAAACGCAGGGTGTTCTCCCTGTTGAATTGCATCGGACAGAGCTGTTGTTCGGTTCATGGAACTGGTATTACATTCAACGAAATAAGGCCGGTTCGTGACTGGCGCGAAAGCAAACGCGCGGAGAATATGTGATGTCATATCAAATGCTCGTGCTGTGAATTCGCGAAAGTTCAACACATTTAATACAACTCGAGAAATTGTCCTGCAAATATTTCATTACGTCAAGTTGCTTCACTTTCACAGTTGCCTGTGGTATGAACCGGCCCGTTGCCTGATTGATCATTTTCGAGTGTGAAATTGCGAGTGAGGCTCGTATCTGCATTGGTGGTGCACTCGTATTTTAAATATGACCGCTAATATAATATAATATATAATACCACCGCTTGTCTATACGGGGCAATTTGATAGGTCCAAAGTAGGCCTATCAAAAACCCGCCCACATTGAGGAACATGCAGTTGTGTGCTCCAATTGATAAATATATGATTCAAACTTTATGGGCGAATTTCTAAATGGCTGAAAACGCTCAATACGGCCTTGCTACCTGTAGGAAGGGTTGAACATTTCTAAGTAATAGTTTGATTGACAACATATGTGGAAGCTCGGAAGTCAATTAACCCATTTTTTAGTAAACCACGCCCCATCCTCAATCCTATAATAGCACGCGACTGTCTGGAAATCAAGCACATCGACTCACAGTTTCCAGCAGTCGTTCAGTTTTCTCTCACTGATCCATTGCTGAATAATGAAGCTGCTCGCTCTCTTCGTGTGTGTGGCCTTCCTGTACGGTGTCTCCTCGGAGACATCGGACTTGGGCGACAGTGCAACTGCGGTGGCTGCAGACGATGCAACCGAAGACCGCGCAGTGGCCGTAGAATTCGATGACTTCACCGAGGATGACGACACAGCAGAAATGGACGACGAAGCCGACTTGGATTGGGATGACGATCAGACAGACGAAGATTGGGACGAGGAGCACGCGTTTCCCTTGATGTATGAAGACCAGTACCAATACACTGATGGTAAGTAAGCGTATTTCCCATAAAATAGTTTTCTTGGCATCAGCAATCAATTTTGAACTATCACCAAGTACATATGCCCCCAGATAAATTGAGCCGTTAGTTTTGGGGACAACGCAAAGTAGAAAAAAATGAAATTTGTTACAGCGTTTAGGAAATGTTTTTTCATTCACAAAATATCACATAAATTCCATAATCATTGTTTATAACATCAAGCAAATCTGCCTGTTTTATTTTTTTTTCAAATTTGTGCCTGTCCATTTGATTGGTACTTTTTCTTTCGCGGGAAGCGGCTACACAGGATCATGTTCACAAACTGTCAATTCTAAAAAAGAGGACTAATTCCCAGGCATGTTGGCCGTGCAGTGTTTCTCGCGTGCGAGGTTATATTGGGGGTATATCACCCCACACCTTTTGAGGTTGGGGATGGGCTATTGCATCACCCCCCCCCACTTTTTGTGATGAGCAAAAATTAAAGCGGACTGTGAAGAAGTTTCAGGATTTCCCAACGACTTTAATGTTTGCAATATCACTATTAAAAAGGGAACATCAATTAAAAAAGCCATGAATATGACGTAAGATTGTGCATAAATTTCATACACGTCACAGATGTACATCTTTACGATGAACATCGCCCCCTATATGGTGTATATGGTGCCACCCCTCCCCCCACGTTTTTCAAATTTATAGCTGGGCAAGTCATCCCCCCACTTTCCCCACCCCACCTCCAATATCTAACACAAATTTACGTCACTGGGGACTGACAATAATTACGGAGCATTTTATCTTCTCTTGTCCAAGGTGCAAAGGCATCGGTACTAATCGATTTGAAAAAAACTTTTCTCTATAATCTTAAGCACCTTTTTTTTGTAATTCCATGCATTCTATTTTTGATTATTTCCCTCAGCGTTGGAGCCGGCCACTAGTCCCGAAGTTGAGTGGATTCGCTTCAGGTGTCGAGGACTCAGGTGTTGTTTGTCGACCAGAATCTTCAGAAGGGGATTCAGCGGTAAGCAACTCCCCGATTATTAGACTAAGGGAATAAAATACGTGTTTGACAAGTCTTAAACGTGCGTTTAAGACCCGCTCCGGAGGACTAGGCATAATCACTTGTCAGCAGGCATCATCAAATGTAAGTACACGGTCAAGTTACACGTTGTTGAGTAGGGAGACTTTGATATTTATGAAAAAGGGATAAAGTTTTCTCTGGTTTCTCGGTGGCTTTTGAATCCCATTTTCTCGAACCTTTATTTGCCTATCGTTGCAAAGTCCTGTTCCGTTGCTTTGGATAATTTTTCTCTCGCTTTAGTCTTTCAAAACACTTTTCGAAGTCTAAAAGTTAAGAAAACATTCTTCATGTAAACGATAACCTAGTTTGGCCAACTTATGATAAGTCAGAAAGAATATTTTCATTTTGCCGAACTCCCCCGTCCATTTTATTTTAGAGTTGTCCAAAAGAACCTAGTCTATGGACTTGGCGCAGGCGTGCTGACCTATCACACGGAGACTCTTGACCTATCAGAATCGATTAAACTGTCTCGTATCCAAGCGCCACTGTGTGATTTACGCTGGCAGTGGGCATTACTTCTCAGCTGGCGTTAGACTGGTTCCCGTCCCGTACGTAGTCTCCAGACATCCTCCGAACGCGGGATCGGTAACGGATAATGAATCCGGAAGAATCCTGCCGGACGGTAAATGAGGAAATAATGGCCGCTCAATACACTGATCAATCAAAAGCTGATAGCATTATTTTTTTCTTTCTCGTTACCGAAAATAACTTCACCATAAATTGTTCCTTTATATACAATGTAACACACTTACCACTGATTTGAAATAAATTGCAGAAATGATTTATGAATGATAATCATTGAAAGATAAATTACTTTACTTTACTTCAAATATTCTTTTGATTTTACGTGTCGAGTCATCCTGACAGACTCTTCCAAAAAAATCCGCAGCCTGAAAAGTCTGAATTTAGCATACCTTTATGTATTTTGTGTCTTAACTCCTTACTTTTAATCATCTGATCGTATTTAGAATTGAAGCTGACACATAAAGCCTCGTTTTCCAACGCGGAAGTGCGCAGATCGATGCTAATAGCGTCGTATTGGGATCCCTCTATTGCACCGATGGGGCCTGGGCTCGAGTCCCGGCTTGGCCCAGGCTTTAAGTGCATTTGGTTTCCAGTTCATACTCGCTCTCGCAGGTTTTCTCGGGGTACCCCGGTTTCCCCGCCTCTAAAACTGGACCTTGTTCCTAACGTCCTTAAGGTGATTCGATTAATACATGTTATGAACATAATTCGCAAATAGCCCGAGTATACCTGAAAGCTGAAAGCGCCATTAAAACAAAACAACAACTCCTGCCCGCGGAAACGTTTTTCGTGTTAAAGCATTGCTTCTGGCCTGACAAAAACTGAAATATTCGGCGTCCAAACTAACAGGGCTTATCCAACACATTAAACCGCAGCTGCTAGCTACTAGTCTAAACAAACATTATCAAATGTTTAGTACACGGTCAGGTTACCCGTTGTTGAATAGGGACACTGTCTGAGGTATGAGAAAGTTCTCTTTGATTGTCGATGGCTTTTGAATCCCGTTTGCTCTGACCTTCATTTTGTCATCATCGCAAAGTCCTGTTCCGTTGCTTTAGATAATTTTCTCTTGCTTTCGTCTTTCAAAACATATCCGAAGTCCAAAAATTAAATAACAATTAAAAATCATCAATAGTATAAATGCTGACCTAATTTGGCCAACTTGGGATAAGTCAGAGAGAAAATGTAATCTTCTTTCTTAAATTAGGTCTTTTTCAATCCAAATTCCTTGTGTTTCTAAACTTTACGAACCATTTCTTTTCAGCCTGCTTGAGGGGCTTTTACAGAAATAACAGAATAGGCTACAAAGTGACCGTCAATGGGAGGACTTTTATCCAGAGGTCCGTCAGAGGTAAGATTCCGAGACTCGTACATGAATTTCAAAGTTTGGATAACTTTTCTCCTCCAGTGAAGTTTGCATGCGAACAGCTGCACGGAAACGGCNGGGCGGGGGTGTGACAAAACTACAAGAAATATTCGAAAGCATTCGTAAGTGGCAAAAGCCGGGCAGCCCCTTTTTTAAATTAAAGAACGATTACCAACAACTAAATGAATGGATAAAATGAACAAATAACTATATACCATCAGCTGATGTTAAAAAAAATTCGATATCGGTTAGTTTTGCATGTGTTAAAAAAATTACAGGAAGTTGTATTCAGGTTACATTTTCATAACAACGTAAAGTACGCCTACATGCATTCATGAAGAAATATCCCCAGGGAATTATATTCATAAATTTGGGAGGTGATTGATCAGAGATAGAGAGAGAGAGGGGGGGGAGTGGAGAGAGAGAGATGTTAATTTTTATATTAGAAGTTTGTTTTGCCCTGCAACGGAGTATATTTTTCTAATGCAACGGCGTATATTTTTCTGATGCAACGGCGTATATTTTTTCTGATGCAACGGCGTATATTTTTTTCTAATGCAAGTATCTTAGAAAATACATATATAGCGGTATGAGCTGCTGATCTGCTCCGAATTTAGCAGCCGACCCTGGCAAGCTTGGTTAGAGTGATTAGAGTTCTGCCCCAGTAATTAGGAGATGGTTGTCCGGCGCGTCCCAGTGCCATTTTTCTTGAGTCATAATGTCTATATAAATTACGCCTGTTAAAGGTGAAACGCCAAGTACCAAAATATTCTTTCGGATTGATTTCCAGGCTGTTCAAAGTTAATATGCACATTTTCCGTTACTTCACACAGTGGGCGCCAACGAAATCATGTACTGCAAGAAATTCAGAATAGCTTGGTTCCTTAAGAAGACAGTCTGCGCGGGGCTGACCGACATCAACATTCGAAGGAACGGATACCGCATTCAACACATCTCGGCTCGAGCCAAGATCCAGGTTAGGGGGCGCCTGGGTTTCACCAAGAAGACCAAACCATTCACACTTTACCGCCGCCGCTAGATCCACCACATCGCTCTTCCGATGCTTTAGAATTATAATCGGTTCCGTCGTAATGTTACAGAGTCTCTGTAATGATAGCGCCATGAAATTGTTGAGTTTTAAGGGATCTTACGTTTCTCTTTTAATTTCTTTTGATTTTTCTCCTCCATTCCCAACCCCAATTTGATTTAAAATTCGGGCTTTTTTAGTTTGAGAAAAAAAGAGATCTGATATTGACTTCTTTATAGACAAACGTCAAATTCGTATACGCAGATGTCAAAATAATTTATGACTGTGGTCTCACAACAATAACAACATTATATTCACGCATCCTGTTGCATGAGTTGGGTAAAATATAATGAATTTGGTACATTTGGATTTATGCAATGTTGCTGTCCAGCTTTTTGTGGGTAAATGGATGCTTTGGAAAGCAGGGAAATTATGTTACCCGGGAATAAATTTTAAGCAAATATTATTGAGATTATCATCAGCAGCTTAACAGTCAATAATACTTGCAACTGCGGTTGTTTATGAGAGCATTACATACTGTCTGATGTTTATTTCATTTCGTCAGTCTTGAGGCCTTCTTTTTCGATAATAAAGATCCTTTTAGGCCATTTCACCATGGCTGCAGCACACCAGTTTCTACTGAGATCACAAGCACTGCCGTAAAAGTAACTCGCGTGGGTACCAGCGATTTGTCTCGGCGGCTACACATAGAGTTATATTAAAACAAATTCGTGCAGATAAACCATTTGGAACGGAATACATTTGGTGATAAAACACTTCAAACTAACATTTATCAAGTGAACTGGGCATCAGGATTTTTCTTATCAAAAATTTTAACTGTTCCTGTTCTGCAGAAAACAATTGAGAAAAGTGGTACGTTGATGCGGAAGAATGATTGTTGACAGGAACGAAGTCAATGCATATCACCCCATGAAAATCTTATTCTGGTTCTCTTAGAGATCAAACCCACCTCCAAACTTACCGAATAAAGTCCAGGAGGCAACAATTACATTCTCCGAAGTTTATTTCACAGCAAAACCCGTAATCATATAGTTATCCGTTCTTCACATTCTGAAGTTTCATTCGGTGAAAGTACGTGGGATTATACCTACATTCTCTGAAGTTAATTTCACCGCAAAACCCGCAGTCATATGGTTCTCCGTTCTTTACATTCTGAAGTTTCATTCGGTGAAAGTACGTGACTGGGATTATACCTACAACTCTCTGAAAATAATTATTCAAGTAACATTGTCAGGTGTATCCTTGTCGGGCTTTTTTGACGGTGACTCGCCAGACTTCTGAACCAGTGCAGAATGCTCATCCTGTCTTCTTCCGGCCCTTCCATGCAGCCAAACCCTGCTGGCCAGAGCTCGTCTCCGAGAAGAGAGCACGGACGTGTATAACAAAATCTGGACTCGCAATGCCTTTAATCAGCTTATAGAGTCATTAAATCCACTCGCGGCAACTTTACCGAGCCGCATACAAAGCTTTCCTGGCAATGCCCGCCTTTGTTCTTCCTGACGTCAATAGAAGGGAGCCAGCCCACGATTTTGTCTTCGGCTGGGTAAAATGGCCGCTGGTTGGTTTCTTTTTCATACAAAGGCGTTGCAAGTCCAGGTTTTTATATACGTCCGTGGAGGAGAGCAGACTTCTCCAACAATACCTGGAGGTACTCGTCCGCCTTTGACAGCCCATCACCGAACCCATGAGGCTAAACATCCTAAATAACATGTTCTCAACTTTGAAACTAGCGCCCCCTGTGTTCCATTTACGTTTATTTTGAATAGTGCACTTGGAATCACGAGGGCTGCGTGTTGTGGCATCATAAGTTGCCAGAACGGTTAATTTAGCGACAATGAGTCAATGAAAAGACTTCACGAAGAAATTTAAAGGAACCAGGAAATAGAAATATTTTGATAAATTTTACTAAAACCCTTGTAATTGCATCTTTGGGTTTCAATTAACCTGATTTAAAATTTTGTTTTACTATTTTTACCCATACTTCGATGCTTTTTAGGTTTTATGTTAATGCTATTGGCATACTTATGAGCAGAACTATTATGTAATCCAAGGCACTGAATCTCAATGTTGCACTGATCTGTGCACAGAAATTTTCCAGATTTTTTTAACCACTGCTATGGCAGATTTCATTTTCTTTGGCAATTTACTGTTGTCTAAGTATATGGCAATAACCCAGCGAAAATCCTTTTCACAGAAATGTTCCCAGATAGCAAATTTGGGATTCACGATTTGAACATGAAAACACGCAACCTGAACCATGCCTTCCTGGATTTACGTCAAAGCAAAAGCCCCCTCATTTGTCCAGAAATGCTTGGTCAATTCTTAAAGTTTGAAAAATGCACCGTTCAGTTCATGTGACTCAAAAAAGATGTCAAACAGTCTTCATACACGGAAGAAGAGTACAGAGATACACAAAAAGTGATTCTAAGAAAAATTCATTTCCTGGATCCTTTAAAGATAAGCTATACTCTGGGTTTGCAATGGTACAGGAAACCTAAATTGTAATGAGTGGATAAGCCATAAGCATAGATTTTGATTCAGAGGGTTCCATTCAAGGGCTACGTTAATCTGAGTACAAAAAATACGGTCATGACCATTATTGGATCCGGGAGTCACCGAGGATCATGCACCCCTTACAATAATTTGCTTTTCAAAAAGAGAAAGAAAGGCGATCTTGGGTGCTTCATTCCCCTGAAGTCTCATCATATCTCAGGAATGCCACAAAAATGTTTGCACACTAAATTTCCCCCACTAGGAAGCGACTTTTGCTCCAAACGGTTGTGGTTTCCTGTCTTGTGATTGGTCTGTTCATACATAGGCCTATCTAATGCATCGTTCTGGACCTCACAAACGAGACTCATGGTGAGAAGTTTACTCTCTCGCTTGTTGTTTACAAGTAAAAAAAAAGTTGTGAAACAACAGAGAGGATTTCAAGTCGGGAGTACTTCCAACCAATCCACACATCTGCTGCCAAGCTCCGGGAATTTAATATACTTTATTATCTAACCACTCTTAAAACCTTGGACAGAATTATGAATAATGCATAAGCATAGAGGGCGCCCTCTTCCAAAGCTGTTGAATCCACAGACATAAAATTTTATATGGGAATAAACATGTGTTTGACTGGTCTTAAACGCACGTTTAAGACCGGCTCAGGAGAATGGACACGACTAATGTTTACCATCGATTTGTAGCTGACTGTTAATCTCTTAGAATTCACGCAATAATTTGGACATAATAAAAGTCAATGGACAGTCTAATTCTGTGCAGAAACTAACAATCTATTTATTGCTTTAATGACACTTCAATCAGTTTTATGTTCACGGACAATTGGTTTTTGGATAATTATAGTAAATTCTCTATGACAACCACAAGTAAACCACAAGGCAAACCACAAGGTAAACCACAAGGCAACCCACAAGGTAACCCACAAGTGTCATCCGCAGGTATCACCCACAACTTAAGTTTCTCACTTATTGTACACTTTCTAGAAATCGGACCCGAGTTAATAGTTTAGCTTTATACTTACGTTTGAATGTTTGTTGGTTCCCAAGATTCTTTATAGAGGCGTCTATGGAATTCCATAGCCTGGGGCCCTCATGCTTGACTGTATTTTGTGTAAGAGTAGTACGTGCAAAAGAGTGATGAAGTTTCTTGTGCTGTCTGTAAAAAAATCATTAAAATGAATAGTAATCAAGTGTAGCTATAGATTGCTGGTAGCAATACCTTCTACATCAATAGTACTTATTTTCGGTTTAGAGTTAGTGCGGAGTATATGATTAATTATCTTCCAAGTATTTTAATTAATTATCTTCCAAGTATACTTGTAGTATCCTGAGAACAATATATCATATCCTTTGGGGAACGCTTTTCATTAGATCACCGACAAGTGCATCTTGGGAAGGCTACCAACTGCATGAAAAAACACGACCGGAGAAACAGAGTTAGTTTATGTAGATACGGTCTGTCCTTGCTGTTATTCGTGTTTCTCTGTTAAGAAACATTACAATACTTTTCAACATGAGTGTTAAATACATCCATGAACTTAGTGAATGCTAGATTAGTATCCTGTGTATTAAAGAGTGAGGACCAGAAATATTTGTGAAGTGCTTGTTTAAGGTTGGCTAGATTTTCGTGAGAATAATCACGTATGGAAGTGACGCGTGGACTTGGACGCGTGGACTTGGACTTGACTTGACAGTCAAGCTAAAGGAAGTAAATATAGGACAATAATTGGATACATCTGCAACCAAGATCCCAGATTTAGGAGGTGGTAATATATTAGTGATCCTAGTTGGATTGGTAAGAAGTGGCAAACATGAGGAGTAAATTAAATCTAAGAATTTCAGATCAGGTATAGATTAAAATCTCCTGAAATTAAGCAAGGCTCATTTTCATTTGTAATTAATTGGAAAAGGGTTTTAAAGTTGGTAATAAAACAAGCAAAGTTTGCATCGGGGGTTTATATACAATCCCAGTTATAAGGTTGGCGGTCCCGTGGAAGTTTTAAAAAACGCAGCTCTGGTGTTTGTTGAGTGCTTGATAAACACAATGGAACACAGCAGTGCACATGGACCATTTCGGATGATAATCAGGAATTTTTTTTGTGTCAGGTTGATACACACGCCATATAGTATACGTTACAAACGCGTCACGTCGACGCGTTCCTGCAACATCCCCACCTTTCACCCACAATGCACCGCGGTAAACACTGCATTACGTCATTATGTTGTAGGTCTATTCCAAGTGACTAGCCTCTCCAGACCAAGGCCCAGCCCTCTCAACCACAAGGGCTTATCCAGGTCTGCAGGTCAACACAATATCTGTTTTACAGTGCTAGCACCAACCACAAGCTTCCAGACACATTGGCAAGTACCCAGACAATGGCCTGGTAAATTTTCCAAAGGGGAAAGGAGTATTTTAAAGGGGAGTAGGTATTCCGTGCATTAACGTAATGTAGTAGTGTTTTGTGTACAAATATAGGAGGATGATATAACCCCCCCGTTCCAGTCACTGCCAGGGCGATCCCATGATTGACACCCCTCTCAAAAGGTAGGTGGGGAAAGTAAGGAAAGTGACGGGAGTTCGATCAGGCAATGCGTGGCAGTGTGTAGAACAATCAGATCACGTGATTTCTGGGAGTATTTGAGAGCAAGCTCCCACCTCAGAGGGACTATTTATATAAGAATTTTCATTCAGCCAGGTCTCACACAATCTATGTCCAGTCGTAAATAATGCAGTGGACTATTTGTTTTCCCGTGGTTCCAAGTCAACGGCGCCACCGCCGACGGCGGAGTGGCTTCGGCGGCGCGCACCTGGCCTGGTTTTGGAATTTGGCTGGCGTGCGCTCCGGAAATAGGTAGCTATAAATAGATCGCTTTAATTAGCTTCAAATTTGTTGGGTACGCGGAAAAGGCTTGGCTGGATTCCAGGGATGAGTCAATTGCTACAATGTTATACTTATCCACACGGTGTGCTTTTGTACATGGAGAACGATCAGTTGTGTTTTTGG